TACACAAAGGCCAAAAAATATTAAAAATGTTGATACCTCTATATGCCAAGTTATTTCGAGTTGGTAATCTATCTAACGATAAATGCCAAAAAATATGTTGATTTCCCTATGAACGAATTTGTTCCAAGAAGTCTCCCTTTCATTATCCGGCAACATGATTTCTTCAATTTGTTTTCTCGTATCTTTAACATTAAAATGTCCATCATAGCTAAGATCCCAAATCCAAGATCAACCCCATATTCAAGTTTCACATCACAAACCAAATATATTAACACATTTAGTTTATCAGTTTCGATACCATGTTGAATGCTCCTACGTCAATCCCATCTCTATTGATTATCTAATCAACGATCTTTTAGCAAGCAAGATTTATTATTTTCGAGGCCATAAATAGTAGAAAACTGGATACTTAAAGGAACATTATCGATCCATAAATCTTCCCAAAAAGTAATATCTTCTCCACTAACTCTTTTTCTACCTAAGGAAGTCGTCATTAACATTGGTTCTAATCTCCATTTTCTATATTTTTTTGTAGGGTCAGAGGTTTAGGCATTATTAGTTGAGGAAGCTTGAACTCCTAAAGGGTAAAATGAGATTTTTTTAATAACATATTAAACAAATGTTCGATTCATGAGGGGTCCAAGAAAGAGAATGAAAATTATGTTGCTATTTTGGTTACATGAATCAATTTCATTTCTAGTTATAAAAGTTATATGTGTATAGAGCGTATCAAAGAGAATTGTGAAAAATTAGGAAAGAAGATAACAACGAAAGATGGTAGTGGAACATCTCAAGAAAATGTAGTTATGTTGTATTGACTCATGTTGAAAATTTTATGTTTGGTTGATACAATTTACTCATAGCCTAGGTTTCATGGTTGTAAAAATGATTTTGATGGTTTCATGGTTATGACAATCTCTATGCCAAATAATTTAAACATCTTCAACTATACCATATGAAAGAATATAAATAAGTGGTTAAAACTCCAAATCAAATGTAAAAATTGAAATAAACACAATAGTTATTGATAACTAGCTAGAAATATTCTCATGAAAGAAAAAGGGGGTTAAGACCCTCCTTGTGTAAAGATGCTTTTTACACACCAATGTTCCAATTAGATAGTCAAGAATATATACAATAGATGTCACAAAACTTTTAACAAACTATACAATCGATCAATTAGTTATACCAAACTAAACCACATAATCATAATAAAGTATGACTTGCATTATGAAGCCTTCAATTATAGTCATTAAATGGTGACTAATAGCTTGTGTGACTCAAGTCAACCTCCTTTAATTATTATTAAAACTTCTTCATGTTAACAAATTTTACTATTTTACCATTATACTAATAGCTTAGTAGTAGTCCCTTTGACACAAAAGTTTTGTTGTGTTACATGCCCAATAGTTAACTCTTATTAATACAGAGATTGAATGATCCAAAGTAAGAAAAAGTTAGATTTTGAAGAAGATTCCGTTTTTATGGAGAAGGAAAAAGTGCCCAACTTTTCGTGTTACATGCTTAATGCTTTAACAACTTCAATGTTCTAAGTCCATGGTTAAGAATTAATGCCACATTTGGATGTTGATGATTTTATTTAAAATTATATAATAGTGTGGGTAAACTCTAACAAACCACACTCAAAATCCAAAAAATTAAATAATTATTCTACACAATAATTTATGTAACCATTATACAATATAATTATTAATAATTCAATTTATAAAGAAGACAATAATGACAAAAATCCAAAAAAAAAATTATTCTACACAACAATTTATATAATCATTATAAAATATAATTATTAATAATTTAATTTATAAACAAGACAACAATGACAACTTAATTAAATCACTTTAAACTCGATCTATACAATCATTTATATAATCTTTTTATTGATAATTCGTTAAACAATATAATAATCTATGTCATCACAAAATAATTGTACTTTTTTATCTTCAATTTGAGAATAACTTAAAGCACTAGCTAGGGTGGAGGGAGTCATTCCCTCCCAAGGACCGACAAACACCGGAAAATTTGGATCAAACTCGGACCGCCGGTCTGGACTGGTTTGGGACGCTTAGGTCTGGGACAGGTTCAGTCTCTATGCTATTTTTGGGACCGAGACTAGTCCTTTTGTGCAGGTCTACTCCCAACTCATTGTCACATCATTTTTTTTTATCTTTCCTCTATCTTCCATCTTTTTCAATCCAAAACACATAAAAATTTATCTTTTTAGCTCATTCAACCAACTTAATTTTTATTTTGAAATAAACACAAGTTAATAAAAGTCATATAAAACTAATTTATAAAATATTAAAAACATATAAAATTAATTCACAAATTAATTTAAAAACATAAAAATTACTTTTATACAAGTCTTAAAACAAAAAAATACAAGTGAAGAATTAGTTATCTACAACTGCAAGCCACTTCTATATAATTTCAAATACCAACTTTCTTTTGGTAGCCCTCATTATAAAAAGTACATTAATCACATACACAAGTTCAAAACTAAAAAAATTGTACATTAATAAATTACATAAATTAGGTGGACAAAACTAATTAATCATCTATAACAATATTAATTATAAAAAACTTAATCCTTTACCTATGTTTTTATATCATTTTATATATTTTAGTTAATTTATCAATTAGTTTTATCAAACATTATTTTTTGTCGTTGCCTAACTTTTTCAACGATCAATAGCGTTTCAATTAATCCGCCAAATATAACCTCCGTTTATCATAACATTTCACTTTTTTTAATGAATGTCAAAACAAAGTCATATTTTATGTAAATACATTTCATCAAACACATAAAGTATATAAACCCAAAAGCCACTAGAATAAGAAAGAGAAAATGACTTAAAAATGTAATCAAGTTTCAAAAATGTACAAAAAAGACCATTGTTTTTCTTTTAGTACACAAAATATCATTAAAGTATATTTTTTATACACAAAATACCAACAAAGTACACATGTGTTCAAATAAAACATTATGGGTAACCGGTTACCTCAGGTAACAGAAAAATGTCTTAAAAAGGTAACAAAGTTTCAAAAATGTTCAAAAAATACCATTATTTTTTTAGTATAAAAAATACCATTGAAATTTCCAAAATGTTCAAAAAAAACCATTGGTGTTTTTTCAGAGCACATTTTGTTAACTTCGTTGTTTCCGGATTATATAGAACACAGTCATCGGAGATTAGTCACTATCGTACCAGTTTAACACTAGTTGTGTACTCTCTTTCATTCCATCACTTGATCAGTTTGTATCTAAATTTATATTTAGGAATTCTCATGACATAACGTCACACTCGTTTCTCCTTTGTGTTTCTCTTGTGCCGCAACACTAATGAACGGCTAACCTTGATGTATAATATGTGCATCTATATAACGTATATATTTTTTAGGTTTGAGGCATATAATGTGATCGGATGTTTAACTAATGTTATTACCCACTTACTTCTCTTGTTACCACAAGAATGATCGAGTGAAGGAATGAAAGAGATTTGCACAATTGTTGTGAACTGATATGACGGTTCATGATCTCTGGTGATTGTGTTCTACATAATCCGACAAGAACACAGTTAACAAAAAGTGTGGTATTTTTTAAACATTTTGGAAACTTCGTTATACTTTTAAGTCATTTTTCCGTTTACCTAAAGTACCTGGTTACCACGATATTTTAGTTGAACACATGTGTACTTCGTTGGTATTCTGTGTACAAATAGTAACATTAATGATATTTTTTGTACTAAAAAAACAACAATGATATTTTTTGAACATTTGGAAACCGGGTAACCTACAATAACTGGTAAAATGGTATTTTGTGTACTAAAAAAAACAATGGTCTTTTTTGTACATTTTTAAAACTTTCTTACCTTTTTAAGTCATTTTCCTAGGAATGGCAACGGGGCGGGTTCGGGGCGGGGCATGGTTTCCCAAACCCGCCCCGATATCTTTCGGGTATCTTATCGGGGCGCCCCATTGGGTTTTGGGTTTTCCGATCGGGTTTCAGGTATCTTATCGGGTTTACAACAATTCATAACGAAATCTTTATTCCGTTTTAGGGTGCCCCGATGTCTTATAAAAAATACATGTTCTAGCCTCCCTTTTAAATTAAAAATACGATGAATCACTTTAATAAAATAAACTGGACGTTATATTAAAAAAATATTTGATTTAAGTTTAGTGTAATACGTCAAAACATAAAAAATGATCATTCATACGAGATTGTTAATAACTAAAAAGATTGTCCACGGTAAATATTTTATCTTTGAATGCGTGCAATTAACATCAAAATGATTCGAACATATTATATATATATATATATATATATATATATATATATATATATATATATATATATATATAATCGGGGCGGGGCGGGGCGGGTCGGGGCGATGATAACCCACTCCCTGCCCCGAACCCGATAACGACCCGTTACCCGACCCGAAATGATCGGGTTTTGGGTTTCCCCGTCGGGTTTGGGCTTTTTTGCCATCCCTACATTTTCCCAATAAGAAATGACTAATGCCTAGAATGTTTTCCCAATTGAAGAATCGTGTGTGAATTCCAATGCATCAAATTCTTCTATTGATCTGATCATGTTACTGATTTCAAAGAAGGCCAAATATTAGGTAGATGCCGATCGACACCAAAATGATGGTGTTTCATTGTTTGGATGTTGGTTGACTGGTTGTGTTATTTTTATTTTTATTATTACCCCCTCATCAGGTGGAGTAAGCTTATATAAAGTTTTTATGTATACATATGAGTCTTGCCTTTTATGTCATAAAATTTGTATACGAATATGACTATATTTTTACTCTTTAGCTATTTAGTCATTTTATTCTGTTTTCCTTTTTAATGAGAAACTCAAAGATGTATGTACGTGTGTTAAACCATTAACATGTATACAAAACAAGAGTTAAATAAAGTTACTCATATACAATTTCATCAAACAATCCCTACATGTGATAAAGATATGTAGGGCTAAATGCAATAAATAGCAATACACTTTCATTTATTTGTTTACTTTCATTTCTTTCTATCACAACATTTTATTTACTATCACTAAAAAAAATTATTATTTACCAAATTACAGCCCTTTGTAACTTTCGTAGAGAGCAAACTTCAACCTCTATCATATACAACGCAGAAACTGGCCTATGATCAGAAACCCTAATCTCAGCCCTTTTATAGCCCACTTGCTTTATCCCCTTTCCAAAACAAAGTATCCGATCACACCTACACCATTAATTCAAACCAATAACATAAAAAAAAAATCATATAATTCAAAGAAATCAATTATTGATTTTCTAAATTTTATAGGATCATCATACCATGCTGGATTCCTCCTACCACCTTTAGGATCCTCACCATAATATTTCTCTGAATTTTGCTCGTATTTATAAGTTGGTGGAAAATTCAAATTTCCTTCTCTCCACCCCTCAAATACACCACCTTTTTTTAGCTCCCAACCAAGCTTGCACAAAATAAAATAAAATAAAAAGATAAAATTTATTTATGGGTCCTAACAATATTAATTTATAAAGTAAATGAATAAAATAGTATTATTAAAAACATGAAAAAAAAATTACTTGATCACTCTCTAGCAACTTCGACAAGTCATTTTTGGAAATTAAGTCGCATGTTTCATCGTATGGTAAATTGATACGATAATTAAGATCACCTAACCAAATTATTCGCCTGAAATTACAACAATTTAAAATTTTTAAAAAAAATATATTGACGTAATCAAATACTAGTGTAATTAGTAATTAGTTAATTACTCATGGTCCTTAATGCTCCTTGGAAGTGCGACTTTTGACATGGAATTAAAATTTGTTCTTCTATGTATTTCATCCACGTCAGCATTCCTCTTAACTGCATCAACTTCCCTCTCACCAGATGTTAAGTGAGTGCATACGAAACAAAAGTTCGTTTGATATATAGACATGCTAACTGATATCGAACCCTAAAAGAAAAAAAAAAATAACAAATCATTATAAATTTGAAAAATTTATAAAGGAATTCAGAAAAGAAAAGGAACAATACAGACCTTGTTACCTATGTAGCCCATTACACCAACACCAACAGTTGACACGTGTACATTCTTGATATGTTTCTTCAAGCTTCTACGAACCCAAATAGTAAGAAAAACACCAACCATTTGCTTGCTTACTATTCTAACATATTTTGATCTTTTTTTGTGCATTATAGAGTCAAGATCTAGTTTTTCAACCCAATAATGACAATTTTGCCCTACTGGATCATTCTCACACTCTCCATCACTTTCAAGCATAAATTCATCTTCTATATTTGGAGCATCATCATATGGTTTTTTAAATCTTGATGGAGAAGAAGGGTCGCTATAGGATTTGAATTCAGTCTTTATAGGTTGAATTTTATTAAGAGTGTCACGAATGATGTTTTCCCATATCAAAATTGGATAATTATCTTCAGAACCAAAGATATTACCAGCGTTTAAAGGTATGATTTCTTGAAAACTGCAAAAAGGCATTGGATTTCATCATTTTGCTGATCTTTTTTCCCATATACATTCAAAACTCAAAAGTATTGCTAAAAGTCAAAGTGATACTTACCCAATTACATATATGTCTGCAGGGTATTCAGTATCAAGCCAGTTTTTGATGTTTAAGTCTTCTGGTGGAAGTTCACCTCCAACATTCCAGGTATTAACAGATACTCTAACAAAATTAGAAGTTTTAAGGTGTCAAATTGTCTATAACACAAATAGATAAACAATCAACAGAAGCCATATGAGAGGAAAAGAAAAACCAAGCATAAAACCTGAGTTCTTTAGTGTCGATATATTGTGTTCTGAATGTCTCTGATTTTCGTCTTCTTGACCTGGGAAAAGCTCCTGATGTCAAAAGAGAAGCAACATTGGAAGATCATAAAAGAAATGGTATCCACATAGTTAAAACGTAAGTCCTAAAAGCAAAAATGGTATCTCTTTTACCAACTAAATCACTCTGAAAATCATCTCGTTTCTTATCATCGAGTCTGGATTCTTTCGGCCAATAACAAAACGCTTCTGTTAAAGAAATCGCATTAATCAAACTTCAAACCCTAATTTTCAATTTGTGATAACTATTACGATCAAACTAACCTGTGTCAACGGAATCATGGATGCTGTCATCGGAATCGGCACTGTAATCTGAACTATTATCAGAAATATTGAGCCATTTTCGGACAACTACCCTCGGCCAGAACAACTGGAGACAGGTGTAACCCAGACATTTTTCAGCCCAGCCTCTCTGCAGTTCTTCTCAAGTTACACAAAAATCGAAAGAATAACTATACAAGTAAATACAGGAAGATATTATCTACAACCATCACAGATTAATATCTCAAACTCCATCCAACAAATCTTATTGCAGATAACGAGTTATCTTTGGATGAAAATCATGATTTATACCTCGATGGCTGTGGTTTAAAGGTATAATTACCTCAGGAGATCGATTCCTTGAGCGTTGATGATCATGAAGGATCATGTTTTGATTTGATGAACCTCCAGTTGACTAAAAATTTTGAAATTTGAAGCGTATGAATGACATAAATAATTGATTGGCATATACCCTCCTGAGGGTGTTGACTAAGCTTATTTGAAAAGGGAAATAACTCGTGAGGCGTTTGACTAAGCTTGTTTAATGTGGAAAATGAGACGTTAGTTAAATAATGTATTACAAATTTGTCTAATCTCTATCTGTGTATATATATTAAAGCAGAAACTTAATTACATCACCTAAAACAATCTGGCCCCTTCAATGTTTTTCATTGATTATTTTAAACAACTGGATCAATTTCGCTGATGTCATCGTAACAAAAAGAACTACAAATACGCCTTTGTTACCGTCTATAACCATTTTTCCTCCAAAATAGGGATTGCTCTCTTCCTCTTTCTCTCTCTGATGAAGATAATATCAAGAGTCGATGATCTTTCTAATTTCTATCCATGTTCTTCCTCCTCAATAGTCGATGATCTCTCCAATTTACATCCATGTTCTTCTCCATCAATGCATCTCCTGCATCGTGTTTGTCACCAACAACTTGAAATTGAGATTCACTACCAAAGATTATTCCCATTGCGTTTTTCTTCTTCTCAAGATATTTGAATTTTTATGAATCTGCAACTGGTTTTCCATTTTGATTATTCTAACGGGAATTTTGATTTGAATCACTCTTATTTGGGTTTTAGGTTTATATTATGTGTATCCGATTTATGTTTCTATCTATGGCTTTTTAGTAATCAAATCGAAATGGTATTGATTCGTTCTGGATTTGACTGCGATTAACGAAATCAAACAGGCTGTTGGATGTGAAGCAAGGTGTAAACAAAGATGGGAAGACAGTCCTCTTGGGTGAAAATTCTTAAAAAAGTACCATTTCGATTGACAAAATGGTTAAAATTCTTTAAAAAAGTTAATTTGAAGATTGCTAAATAACTTGTATCATTTCAGATATAGACCCTTTGGTATAGAGCTCCAGAAGTCCTTTTGGGTGCTACTCATTATTCAACAGCTGTTGACATGTGGTCTGTTGGCTGCATATTTGGTACTCATTATTTCTAAATTAATTAAGTCTGATATGTATTAAGTCAAAAAAACACTAATGTGTTCTTCAAATTTGAAGACATCAGTAGTCAGAACACAGCCGATGACATTGTTACCACCTACACATACTATGATTATACTTCTGGATTCATCCATTGTTGCAATCTTACTGATTTGGAGGTACTAATTTTGATTTCTACTACCAAACTTTCTTATAATTCGTCAACATTTAGGATCTTTACCCTAATTAGAAGAAAAATTTGTTTGGAATCATATTGATTAGTTCTGTTTTGCAGCATGATACAATTATATTTCAACTATTTTTTAAAAGTATATACACATTATATCATCCTACTTTGCAAATCTGCAATAGGATCCCAATATTTGACTTTACCGGTTAGACTTTGGCCAAAAAGTTACTTCTTCATCTCTTAATCTTTGGCTTAAGCCACTGAGTTTGTTATTCCACAAACAAGATTTTATAACAATAATTTTTTAATTTTTCGTAACAAACTATGTTGACCAAGTCTATTATTGTCAATTTGTTTTAAGTTTAAATAACAAACTATGTTGACCAAGTCTATTATTGTCAATTTGTTTTAAGTTTAAAGGTAATCTCCTTAATCTTTGGCTTAAGTCACTAAATTTGTTATTCCACAAACAAGATTTTATAACAATATTTTTTTATTGTTCGTAACAAACTATGTTGACCAAGTCTATTATTTTCAATTTGTTTTAAACTTAAATAACAAATTATGTTGACCAGATCTATTATTGTCAATTTGTTTTAAGTTTAAAGATAATTTCCTTATGCCCAAGGGTATAATTGTCAACACGAGCACATACTCTACAAATTTTAATTTCTTTCATTAATCTTATATTCTTATTTATGCAGATTATCATTCCAATTATACCGTCAATCATAAACACTTTCCAAAATAATTATATGTATATTTATCATGTTTCAATACATAGAATCCAAACATTTATAATTAAATCGTTTAATAAGGAAATATTATCTTTAATTTTTTTCAAATTCATGTACCCTTATCAATTTCAAATCCGGTCATTTAATTATATCTTATTAATTATGGATGTAAATCATATATTTTTTATAACTATTTTAACTTAATATAATATCAGGACTCATGTTTTCCAATTATACAATTTTCCATATTTTGTTATGATATATAGATATAGATATCTTATAAAATCATTGTTTACCATTCTATATATGTTTATTAACCCTATATAATATTACGTATCATACAAATCACGAAAAAAAATTGTTTCTTCAACCTCTCAATCACGAAAAAAAAATTGTTTCTTCAACCTCTCTTTACACTTGCTGCTGCCTACTTCCATCATCAATCATCCATAACAAGTTTCATTATCCTCTGCAATATTTGTTTTTGTTGTTATATTATGAGTCATGTATGGAATGGTGTTTTGAATATGTTTATCATGTATGCAAAATGCTTTATTTTTTCCTTTCTTTCGTGTTAAAATATTTAATAATTCTAACTCTTCTTAATTACATTCTGTCATCGAACTTCCTTTGCCGAATGCTATTTGATTTCCGTCTTTATTGAATTAAAACCTGTTTTTTTGGTGATTCATTAAAAACAACAATCATGACAGCAACAATCACTGTCAAGGTGCATAAAACCAACATGCTGGAATATATCGATGTATTAGGCAACAATGTTTACACATAATATGGACCATTTATGTTACAATCTCCTAAATGAACATGTATTCAATATATTCTGCCACATTGATCATAATATAATTTCACTTTTAATGTTGTCCCATATTATCATTAATAACAATTATATTTCAACTATTTTTTAAAAGTAAATACACATTATATCATCCTACTTTGCAAATCTGCAGTAGGATCTCAATATTTGACTTTACCGCTTAGACTTTGGCCTAAAAGTTACTTCTTCATGCCTTAATCTTTGGCTTAAGCCACTGAGTTTGTTATTCCACAAACAAACAAGATTTTATAACAATAATTTTTTATTATTGTTCGTAACAAACTATGTTGACGAAGCCTATTATTGTCAATTTGTTTTAAGTTTAAATAACAAACTATGTTGACCAAGTCTATTATTGTCAATTTGTTTTAAGTTTAAAGGTAATCTCCTTAATCTTTGGCTTAATTCACTGAGTTTGTTATTTCACAAACAATATTTTATAACAATAATTTTTTTATTGTTCCTAACAAACTATGTTGACCAAGTCTATTATTGTCAATTTGTTTTAAGTTTAAATAACAAACTATGTTTACCAAGTCTATTATTGTCAATTTGTTTTAAGTTTAAAGATAATTTCCTTATGACCAAGGGTATAATTGTCAACACGAGCATATACTCTACAAATTTTAATTTCTTTCATGAATCTTATATTCTTATTTATGCAGATTATCATTCCAATTATACCGTCAATCATAAACACTTTCCAAAATAATTATATGTATATTTATCATGTTTCAATACATAGAATCCAAACATTTATAATTAAATTGTTTAATAAGGAAATATTATCTTTAAATTTTTTCAAATTCATGTACCCTTATCAATTTCAAATCCGGTCATTTAATTATATCTTATTAATTATGGATGTAAATCATATATTTTTTATAACTATTTTAACTTAATATAATATCATGACTCATGTTTTCCAATTATACCATTTTCCATATTTTGTTATGATATATAGATATAGATATCTTATAAAATCATTGTTTACCATTCTATATATCCTTATTAACCCTATATAATATTACGTATCATACAAATCACGAAAAAAAAATTGTTTCTTCAACCTCTCAATCTCGAAAAAAATTGTTTCTTCAACCTCTCTTTACACTTGCTGCTGCCTACTTCCATCATCCATCATCCATAACAGGTTTTATTATCCTCTGCAATGTTTGTTTTTGTTATTATATTATGAGTCATGTATGGAATGGTGTTTTGAATATGTTTATCATGTATGTAAACTGCTTTATTTTTTCCTTTCTTTCGTGTTAAAATATTTAATAATTCTAACTCTTCTTAATTACATTCTGTCATCGAACTTCCTTTGCCGAATGCTATTGATTTCCGTCTTTATTGAATTGAAAACTGTTTTTTGGTGAATGTGCGGTTTACACTTTTTCCTTCATTAAAACAACAATCATGACAGCAATAATTGCTGTCAAGGTGCATAAAACCAACATGCTGGAATATATCGATGTATTAGGCAACAGTGTTTACAAATAATATGGACCATTTATGTTACAATCTCCTAAATGAACATGTATTCAATATATTCTGCCACATGGATCATAATATAATTTCAGTTTCAATGTTGTCCCATATTATCATTAATAACAATTATATTTCAACTATGTTTTAAAAGTAAATACACATTATATCATCCTATTTTGCAAATCTGCAATAGGATCCCAATATTTGACTTTACCGCTTAGACTTTGGCCTAAAAGTTACTTCTTCATGCCTTAATCTTTGGCTTAAGGCACGAAGTTTGTTATTCCACAAACAATATTTTATAACAATAATTTTTTAGTATTGTTCCTAACAAACTATGTTGACCAAGTCTAAAACTGTCAATTTGTTTTAAGTTTAAATAACAAACTATGTTGACCAAGTCTATTATTGTCAATTTGTTTTAAGTTTAAAAGTAATCTCCTTAATCTTTGGCTTAAGCCACTGAGTTTGTTATTCCACAAACAAGATATTATAACAATGATTTTTTTTATTGTTCCTAACAAACTATGTTGACCAAGTCTATTATTGTCAATTTGTTTTAAGTTTAAATAACAAACTATGTTTACCAAGTCTATTATTGTCAATTTGTTTTAAGTTTAAAGGTAATTTCCTTATGACCAATGGTATAATTGTCAACACGAGCATATACTCTACAAATTTTAATTTCTTTCATGAATCTTATATTCTTATTTATGCAGATTATCATTCCAATTATATCGTCAATCATAAACACTTTCCAAAATTATTATATGTATATTTATCATGTTTCAATAT